AAACTGGCTGATCCAGAGTTAGAGCCAGACAAGCTCCAAGCATGTTCCCTTAACTCTATGCCATGCTGCTTCCTTCTAGCAGAGACTTCCTCATGACAGTGACTATTCAGCCACTTCATAAGGGAGGCTAAAAGTCAGATAATGCTGACAGAAAGGATGAGTGGAAAGATAGAGAATGGAGGATGAGATGTAGGGGGTCAGTGGATAGGTAGATGGATAAATTAGTAGATAATGAAGATGGATGAGTCACTGTGTGGATAGGTGGGTGTATGGGAGGTGGATGAGTGGGCGAGTGAATGATAGTTGGATGAAGAAGGGTAAGCCGGGTAGTTGAGTGAGTGTGGGCAGGGGGTAGGAATACATGAAGAGACATAGGAAGCAAAAGGATGGATGGATTTGGTAAATAAATGGACAGGTGGAATAATACGTGAATGGAGAGATAAATAGTTGGATAGAAAATGGATGGGTGGGTGGTGATATTTATGGGTAGGTAGATCGTGAATGGTTGAGTGGATAGGTACAAAAGCAACTGTAATGGAGAAAACACAGGCTTTAGAGCCCCCAGAATTGGGTTAGAATCCTGGTTTCATAGGCTTGTAGGTCGATGGGTGGATGCACACAGAAGGGTCTTTTCTTCTTGGTTCTAGCTCCTAATTCAGGCACTGAAACTAGTGGTCAGTTGCAAGAGACACAGCCCACGCCACGTTAAGTTACCACTCCATGCCTTAATACTCATGGTAACAACGTTCTTCATATGGACCTCCGCTAGAGAAGGGGAGGCCTAAAACAGCTCATTTATTCTTTAAAACAGGTTTTAAGAAAATGAGCCAAAGCAGCTCCACTGAAGACTCTAGTCATTACTGTAGCTTTCTTTTCTGCTTACTATGAAAAAATCCCACTTGTGTTCCCTCATTTAGAATCTCCCTCCCTTCCCCAGCTACCCACATTCCATACACAGTTGTGTAAGGACATCCAATCCATAAAGTGCAGCTTAAATGCTGACTCTTACAGGAAGCGTTCCCTGATGGACACAAGATATCAGAATCTAGCAGGGCTCTCTCATCACGATGTTCAACTCTTTATTATGCAGTTTGTGATGCTTTATTTTGTGTCATAGAGAAGTACAGGAGTCTAGAGGTATCATTGCTGATTTTTAATATAGCCATATTTGCCATATTTAGGTATCCCATGCTATTTTTTTTTAAGCTGATCCAACAGTCTTGTCTTTACTTTTCTTTTAAAGCGAGAAATAGAAGCAAGTAATCAGAAAGCACTAGCAGGTATTCAGTTAATCCAAGATACTAGCTTCTTAATTCCAAAAGCACTTGCAAAGAAAACCATTTGGGGGTGGTGGGTGGTTGTTGGAAGCAATTTGTAATAACTGGAATCCCATAAACATTTATGCCAAGTCTCGTGAGGCCATTTTTGAATTTATCCTTTATTGATCACTACTTTTTCCTCAAGTACTAGTTTTTCTTTGACTTTTTTTTCTCAAAGTATAAAAAGTATGAAATATAAACAAGCTCTTGCACTGCGCACTTAAGATGTGTACAATTCAATCATTAAAGAGCTATCTACACACTGATAAATCCCATCAAATCTTGGATAATTCATTAATATACAAAATATCAGGACACAGAAAGAAATAAAACCCACTTCTTTTTGTTACACTTAAAATTCAAATATTCAATCTAAAGAAAAACACTATCATTTTGGCTCTCTTCTATATGTGTATGTGGATACACTTATTAAAATATTCCTGTTAAATCAATCATGTTTGGTCTTACTATTTCAAGTCAGGTTTAAAACCCCAAAACCAGACATCCAGACAAAACAAGTCTTCAGAAAGATTATCTCTTCCCCACCTCCCTAACCCTAATAATTATGAAGTCAGTTTTACGACATTGACTCCAAACACTGGATTGTGACAAGTGCTAGGTCCAAATTCTTCATAATCTTTTTTGGTGTGGCACACTTGGTAGAACTCAGGCATGGAAGCCAGCATCAATCCCCCAAACCAAACTGCATATCGTTGCATGTGGTGTGTAATGACCCGTACATCAATAGGTTTTGGCTTCAATCTACTGCCACTCAGTTCTTCACTTAATTTCAGTCTGGCATCTACAGTTCTTTTCAAATCTCTTTGCAAACAATGTCCAAGGTCCCTGAACATGGTTGAACCCCCCAGAGAGGACAATATTCTTATAAAGAGGACGTCTGACATCAATAGGACAATTCTGAATTACTTCATCTACAACTTCTGAGATAGGTTGTGTAAAGTCTGGATTAGCAAACTCAGGATGGAAAAAGATTTCAGGTCCCAAAAATCTCTCGTAACCAATATCAGGGGAAAATTCTTTCTTTGAGATAGCATTAATTCCAGTACACTGTTTAATCCACTTTGACCCATCTGTGTCATACTTATTAAATTCTTTTACTGAATCTGGGCGGACATAGCTATAGCGCTCCTTTACTGCTTTAGCAGTTTCCAGAGATTGTTCTGGAGGGATTCCTACTTCTCGGCCTCTTCATAGTTGCTGAGTAAAATACGTTATGTCTCGTCCTGTGATTGGAATGTGTTTAATACAGCTGCCAATCACATGTCCTTCAGCCACAGGGATGACATGAGTGACACCATCTCTGCTGTGTATTACCGTACCAGTCAACGTCCGTGAGGTCCAGGATGCAGCTAAGGCAAGAACAGCCTGCACAGCAATGTACAAGCCTGGAACATTGAAGGACTCGAACCTTATTTCGGCAGTATATTCCCTGTTTTCTGGAGTATTCAGCGGAGGTTCAGTCAAAAGAAAATAATGGTCTTCAGGTTCTGGCCTTAAATATTTAAAGATTACTCGCTCCATACCTTTCCTTCAAGTCCCAATCTTCAACGGTACCATGGCGGATTGGCCACTTTGTTGCATATGTAGGTTTTTCTATTGCTTCATCACCAATGAAGAAGTCTAGGTAATCAACACCTTTCATCGCCCTCCTTTGAGCTTGATCACCCACTTTAGCTGATTCCTTAATAGCAATACAGGAAGGGATGATAAACTGTGGCTCTGTATTTCCAGCATATCCTCATTTTGTATACCCCGTGCCATAGTCCACCACACAGGCCAGCAGTCGTCCCGCCATCTTCCTCCTCACCTGCTGTGCCGCTGCCGCCGTCTGCTCGGTGCTGGTTGGGGCCCGGGATTGGCAGCAAAAGGTGGGAGCTATCTGACCATTCACAGCTGGGCCGCCCTCTCAGTCTATCCCATGCTATTTTGATATACTGAAATACCAGTGTTCTGCCATTTAAAAGAAAATTAACAGACTCATTTTTATCTTGTAGCATACCTAGAGAAATACGTGGTATTACTGTTTGCCCATGCCCTACTTTGGAAGTGTGTTCATTTCTCTTCCACTCTAATAGGTTTCTTAATCCTTTGACTCTTCCCTGGTTTTGACATGATTCATTTTCCAGAGGCGTCTGAGAGAGACATTTAGAATGAAGAGATAGAGAAGGGACAGGAAGAGAGGAGATTCGCAGACCACTTCCAGCCCAGCCTAGGGAATCTGATTACCTTCTACCCTCTGCTTAGTGCTGTAGGTTCCAGCTCTGTTCTCAGGGTCCTTTCTCAATCCTCCTGCCTCGAGAGCTGCAAGCATCAGGTGCACAGGAACTGCCCACCTGGTCCCGGGCCTTGCAAGTAGACAAAGGGCAGGGGTGGGAGCTACCAGTTCACTGTCTTACAAAACAGTGTCGCTATTGGTATTTCAGTGTCGCCTGAAGAGCTTGCGCAGGCATCGGCATTGATGTGAACACGAAGCATCAGCACTGTGGGCACACACCACTGTGAGCCATCTGAGGGCACCAGCTGTGCTGTGTTCACCTTAGAATCACCCACAGAGCCCCGCACATGACCACACTCACAGATGCTCGCTGAGCGAAATGACTCTTTCATGTAAGCCAGGACAGTAGGTGATGGCAACCTGCTCTGCACTCGGTTTGACAGAAACAGTACTATAAAATCAAGTCAGTTCAGCCTAAAACCAGTGAGCTTCAGGACGAGGCAGGGCCAGTCGTAATTATAATTCCCACATGCTCTCCAATCCCCTGAGCCTCCTGTAAAGGGAATGGTCTAATCTTCCGTTTTAGATGAGGAAACTGAGGCACAGACAGTGAGCAGAGTGGCCAGGTAACCAGTAGGAAGTGGTAAGAACCAGGGCTGGAGTTGGAGAAGGAGATCCCTGCTCTAAAGCTTGTCACTGGCCACTTGCATGGCTCAAGTCCACTTCTTGCCTGCACCACCCACATACAGTGGCAGCTGTGACAGTGGATGAATGTCAAGATCGGGAACGGAGAGAAACTGATATCTTCCAACAAGGAAGTGACCGAGTGCCCAGCTGCGAAGAAATGCAGTGTTCGGCCTCACACTCCCTCAACAGTTTGTAGTGGAATATTCAATGACTGACTATCCTGTCGTTTGGACATTTATTTGTGGAGTTACTTGCTTAGTGCCTTTCTCACCTTCAGTCAGAAAGTTCCGTGAAGACAGAGAATATGACCGTATGGCTCGCAGAACGTCCCCTGTTCTCCGGCATGGTGGTTGGTGGGTTAAAAGGCATTTCAGCATGCGTATGCTAAGTGAATGCTATGTGGGGCTCACCGTCGTTACTGACTCTGTAAACTTGGGCAAATTGCATATTGATCTCCCATAAACTTCACAAGGAGCCGGAGGTAGGAATTATTTTCTCCATTTTATAGACAGAGAAGCGGAGGGTATAGATTTTAAGTAACTTGCCTGCATGTACCTGAGCTGGGCTTTGATACCACGCCCAGCTGGATGAAAAATGCCACCTCTGGCCCTTCCTGGCTGCGCCTCCCCAAGCAGGGGAAGGTTTGAGCTGAAGGCTCCTCAGTCACTTGCCTGCCCAGCTGTGGTCAGGCTGCCTGAGGACAGGCTGCTTCACCAGTACTCACGCCACTAACTCACATCTGTGCTGTTTGTTCGCAGGCTCAGGAGGCAGCAGGGGTGGGGCGGCCAGCCCTTGGACACTGAAGGCCGGGCCGGAAGCCAGGCCCAGAGCAAGCTCCAGGACGGGTGCAACAACAACATCCTCACCCACACCTGCTCCCGCGGCTGCAGCAGCTAAGCCCCCTCTGCGACTGCCCAAGGGGACTGCACACATCTCTGCCCTGCCTACCCAGCTCCCCACTCTGTGCCCTGATGGTCCCTGTCTCAGCCCTAAAAATAGCCAATGCAGAAAGAGCCCTGGACTTGGAGCTGGGAAGCCTGGGTTCTGGCCCAATTGCAGACTGATTCGGTGTGTGACCTCAGACAAGTCACGCCCTCTCTGTGCCTCAGTTATCTGCATCTGCCAAAGGGGCTGAACAGATCTCTGCCCCACCACCAGTTTCAAGATTATTGTGAGAATTCAACTGTATAGCAAACATGCAAAGCCTTTGACATTTATACAATTGTTTTTAAACTTATTTTAATAGCATTTGCAATATTTGCTTTATTATTCTCTCTCACCTATAGTCCAACTTCAAATTTCACCATTTGTCCCCAAATGTTCTTGTAGTATACAAACCCTTTATGTGTGCAAAATATAACCTTAATATTTGAAGTGCACCACCATTTCCCAAAGCAATCAGACCATCTAGACTTTGTAATTCTGCCCATCCTAGCTTGTTAGATGGTCTACAAGTCATACTTTTGAAAATGTAGCCATGATAACTTGACATGTTTGCCCCTCCTATGGAGACACCGCTCCTGAATCCTGGAGCAAAACCTCAAGTGTCTTCACTCAAATTCTCTGCCAGACCATCATCTTTCTGACCTTCTAAAGCAGTGTGCAGATGAGCCAGGTCCCCAAGATCTCAGGCTGCTCTCCCCTAGTTCACAGAAGACTGTCCCCACTGTCATTTCGGTTGTCTCCACCTCTAGAATGCCCCACTACACACTGTTACTAAGAGGGTACATCGGTGCCCATGCAAATGAGAGTCTGGTCACCAATCATTGGTTAGTCTTACAAATTGTCATCAGAATTTCTCCCTAAAACTCAGCCTGCTGCAGGACTCTCAGTTTCCATCAGCCAGCCTTCCAGGAATTCTTTTCCAGGAAGGGTGCAAAATTGGCTTATCAGAATTTTCTTATGCAGGGTATCCAAGAAGCACCAACGAAATGGCTCCTTAGAAACTAGAAAAGTGCATGGTTAGAAACGGTATTCTAGAAGAAAAGTGTGTTCATACAAAAAGCAAACTACTTTATGACCTGTTCAGGGAGCAACTTGCCTTTGAATTGGGAGATGCTGTAGCACAGCAAGTAAAGTAGGCGTTGGAGTCGGGCATGTGCTCAAATCCAGCCCTGCTGTTTACTAACTGGAAGACCTTGGGCAAGTCAAGTAATCACTCCGAGTGCAGTTCCTCACTTTTAAATGAAGATAGTAAAACTAACCTTGCAGGGTGGTTCAAGGGTTAAGGGTAATGCACCCAGAACTTGGTTGGCTTTGAATGGTAGCCACTTTTTGCGATCATCCATCATTATTAAGAAATACCTTATACATTCATTTGGCAGGTCAGTGTTCTATGGAAACAAGCCTTGTCTTTGGAATTCATTTAATTTTTCTTTCCAGAGTCTTTGATATCTGTATATCCTGCTAAAGTTTGATTGCATTTTTATTTTCTCATTCAATTTCTGTTTTGCACTTGATCCTCTTTACATGACAAGCTAATCACCATGGCTGTCAGTGTCATCTCTTAGATTTCTTAAGAGACATTTTAATGTATGGTGAGGTTTTATACTTTTATTTAAAAGAGAAATAGTCGTTGTTTTTCTCCTTTGAACTGAAGCTATTATTTCTAGGTCATGTTGTCAATATTGATCTACTTGTTTTGCACACTGTTCAGTCTTCAGTTCCCCATCATATTCATCCTGTCCCTCTCCAGGAAATAATGGGGCTGCTCTCGTCTTCACTGTGACCCAGGAAGCATGTCAGATTTCTTACTGGGCTGAGTGCATGAATTAGGGGCGGGGACTGGAGGTAGCCCTGGAGACATTTGGATTTCCTGGCTGTGTTCAAATTGGTGTTCCTTGTTCAGAATAAACTATTTCTTGGACATTCCTTCTTACAATTTCGTTATTAATTTGGGGTGAGTGAGTGGGGCCATGTTCCTCTTAAAGCAGAGACTAAAGTTTAATTAGAAATATAGAGATGGGGGTGTGGTGTGCATACCAAGTCAATGCCACGTTCCCACAGAACGAAATCAAATTTAGCTTAGCAATTCTAGCCTCTACCCAACTGGATGACAATTTAGATCCAGTCATTACTATTATTATTATATTTGTGGAGGTATAGTTTATTCACTAGAGGGAAAAAATAGAAAATTCTCCACCTAAAGAAAAACACTCTGTAAAATTTCCTGAAATTACCACTCAAACCTTTGTGTGTCGTGCACATTAAGGCAAATAAGGCAGTAGTGGCCTGTTAATGTAGATGTCTCGATGTCCCACCTCCCTGTCTTTGCCCTCCTTGTCCTCACTATTGAGGACACCTTTCAGTTTCCATCTCTGCTTGTTTAAATATCCATTTCTCAAGGGCTAATCTCATGCCGTCCAGACTGCCTTCCGGGCTCATGGCAACACCAACCCAGGCAAGTTGGAATCTCTTCCCTGGACTCGTGCACACATTTGCTATACCTTTTCACGACCCTGATCACTGTCAGCTTGTCCTGTGGTGCTTCTTGTCCTCTTTGCCAGCTCCTCTTCTTGTCTCTTTCTTCATTTCACCCTCCATCCTCCAGTCCTGACAGCATAAAAGGCGATCAACAATTTTTGAATGAATGAGACAGAGGTGAGCCCAATAAACTTCACGCAGGGCAGCTTAACTCCTGACACCTCCTGCCTCCTCTCTGGCTTCACTGCCACTTGCCAGGGCTTTTTCCTCTCTGGGTTCCAGTGCTTCCCCAGGTGCCATCCCCAGTGGAATGCACAGTCCTCATCTACACCCTTCAGAGCCACCTCTCTAGGAGTCTCAAGTTCCAAATAAGATTTCCCTTCTCCTCATCCAAACCCCTTTCCCAGCAGGCCTAAGCACAGTCCAGCATTAACTAGAATTGCACACCCAAACAAGAATATATGCTAGTATTTACCTTCTGATTGGAAATTCGGGCCCACCGGGGCAAGCTGCAAACCAGTGGCATTAGCAAAGCCTTCCTGCATCCACCAAAATAAATGCTGGGCTTCTTGTGCCAATATTTAAAATTGGGTCAACGTTTGTAGTAAGAACTCACATCTGGGTGGTCAAAGTTCCTTTCTATTTACTGTCAGGTATTTGAGCATTTTCCCCAGATCCTCCTCCTTAAAAGGACACTTTCACTTTAATGACTGGTCCTCCTGCTCACAGCCTTGTTGGCCCTAGGATCATTATAGGGAAAGGGAGTCTCCCATAAACCCAGTACTGCCTGCTGCGCTGAGCACCAAGGTCCCTAGCCATCTGCGAACTATGATTCCCCACCTTCAGTCTTCTGCTCGGACACCAATATCTATCCTTCTGTTCCCTCTCCAGCTAGGAAGAGTATGGCCTCAACCCGTTATAATCAGCTCTTTTGCAGTTGGCTCTATTGTGGAGCACTTGGGCCATAGATGGCTCAAGTTTTTTGCTTTACACCTCTCCCTTTGCCTTCAGAGCTCCTGAGTGCCATGTGGGGCAGGTCAGGAAGCGGGAAGTCCCACACTGGGTCTCACTGATCCTGGGGTCCACACTCCTGATGCCCTTGGGTGTCCTTGTCAGGGCTTATCTGCCTAGCTCCTCGGGACTCCCTTCCCTCAGACAGATGTACACCCATCTGAACTCGAGGTGTGAGTTGGTCACTTCCCTCTCCTGGGTCCTTGGGCCTCCACAAGTCAGACCATGAGGTTGGCAATAGCTTCCATGTCCCCAGATCTCCAATGATGATCAGAGGCTGCTCCTTATAGGACACAATGGTCCCCACTAGAGTTGGGGAGGCCCTGCTCCTCATACAAGTCTATCCAGTCATCTGGCTCTGGAATGAGAGAGCTGGGTTCCCATCATGCCCATGATCACCGAGTGGCCCTCAGCACAACTCCCATCTATGAGCATCAGTTCTTCATCTCTGAGTGGAGACTGCTGAGTCCTACTCTGGCTTTATCCTATGATGAGGGTCAATTCAGGAGTTGTGGCTCAAAGAACTGGCTCAAAGAACTCCATGCAAAGGCTAAGTTCTCAATAAGTGAAAGACACTTTCTACTTCATGGAACTTTTCACACAAATTATCGACGCTGATCTCTGCAGGAAGTGGTCTCCTCACCTCCCCATAAATCCTTGATATGTCTTTCATTGCTGCCTCTTCCCAAGGAGCCACTTCAGGCTTCAGGTCAAATACTACTTGTGGCTTTCACAGGTGCATCTGCCAGCCACAGGCAACGAGGAAGCCCTAGGAGTCCTAGGAGGGGCTGAGCTTAGAAGAAGTAGGAGGCAGGAAGCTAACCCTCTCTCAGTGCCTGCTCTCTGTGAATAACTTGACTTTAATTCTATTGATTATCTGCTTTTTAGGACAGGAAGAAAACTTCTAAATGCATCATAACTTGGCTTAGGCCACCAGTGCCAAGACTTGAAATGATCTGCCTCAATGCAAACTTCTTGAACTTTCTATCGAGCAGTAGTGAACCCACAGCTTGGCCTGGAGGTCATTTGGCTCCCTTCTGATCTATATTAACATCTCAAAAACCATCCTATATAGGTATTACTTACATCACTAGGATGCTCCCTAACAAAAGCAGCTTTAACACAAAACTAAGGGAATGGAGACATTCCCCCACTCCCAATTTGTTTAAGTCAGCTGCTGCCCTGAGTCCCTGCTCTGAGAGACCTTTCAAGGAGACTCCTTCCTCATTCTGAGAAAATCAGTTGGACAAGGCCCCTCTCAGGTGGGACATCAACCAACTTGCAGCTCCCATGCAATGCTCCTTCGAGTTTCCTTGCTGCTAAGAACTTTCCAGTTCCAATGGCAGCTCAGTTCTGTCATGACTTGGACCCATTGCCCTAGAAGGGAGGAGAGGCAGGCCAGCAGGATGAGGTCTCCATCTAGATCTAGCCCTAGCACCTCTCATTTGAAGCATCCCCTAGGGTCCCAGGAACCAGCCAAGGGCAGAGGCAAACAAATTTTTTTTTCTCTATTTATATTTCCTTTAAATTCCTGTTTGTGGAATCAAGAGCACCTTAATAAATTGGATGCAGATGCTGGCTCTGGCTGGAACCCTGATCTTGGCCCATCCTGGACACGTTCTTCTCTTTTTTGAAGGAAGAGGCACAAGAGACTCCTGAGTGAGAGGCAAATGGCTTTATTACAAACAGTGACAGCAGCCTGAGAGCAGCACCATGTTCTTGGGCTGGCTCTCTGTACCCGAGTCTCTCCAAAGTGAAGAAAGCCAGGTGGCACCTGCATATGCAGTGGAATGCCTTGGAAAAAAGGCACTCTGAGCTTTGGGAGCCCAGTCTTCCTATGACAGACAGTGAACATGGCTGCCCTTTGCTCCTTAGGGAGACAAAGTCTCTGTCTGCCAAGTCTGTCACTGGACAGACATCTTCAGAAGACTCTGAAATGAAAAACAACTAGTACCTTCCTTGTATGACTTGCATAGACATGGGAGACCACTGGGCATTGTCTCCCAACATAATGAAGTTAAGAGCCCTTGAACTCCTCACTCACCCAGACTGCTGAAC